CATTTTGGAGATTTACTGGATTTACATTTTAAATCTCAACAGGGATGTCAGTATCCTAAGTGCATACAATAGAGATAATCTACTACCATCTGAAGTAGAACAAACAACAACAAAAACTCTTCAGAAAGACTGCACATTTTTTATAGACATGAAAAGTATTATAATTATAAATCATGTGCCATAATCTTTATTACTGATTTGTCATGATTTTGATACTACAATGTCTTTCTATATTCCTTCATGCAAAATTTACTTGCATTAGAATTACACTGTTGGGTCTTTTTCCCCCCTCCCACTTTTGTACTGGATACAATTACTTTTTCCTGATTGTGATCTTAATGAATTAAGATTCTGGTGCAGCTTATATGGCCATTTTGCATTACTTTCTTTACCAAAAATTCAATGGGATAATAAATCATGACATTAATTATTTGTTTCTCTAATAAACTCTAGCAAAGAAATCAGACACTAGATATATATATGAGCTGACTGAGCAAATTTTAACATGATCCATTTTTGTGGCACTCAACCTGGATTTTGCAAGTAAACTAAGTCAGTGATGAAAGCCATAATGAGCAAGAGACAGCACTTACTAACGCTGTAAGATTGAATGAGACTTGGTGCTTGCCCTTGGAGGCGGGGGAAACATGTATATGAATGACTACAATACAAGGCAAAATGTGGCGAGTACCAACAGTGTTACAAAATGATATCAAGGTTCTGGAAAGATGAAATTATACCTGGTCAGAGAATCAGAAAGGCTTCATGAAAAAGGTGACACCTGCGGTGCATCTTAAAGAAACTCACTGGGCAGAAATGAAGGGTGATCACCCAGAAAGAAAGAACAATAAGAAGAAAGGCATGAAGGTGGAAGGCAACAAAAAACTTTGTAGTCAGTTTCATCTGTACCGTGGGGGTACGTGGGAGGGGAACAGGGCTTGAATGCTATTTTAATAAACTGAGAAGTTTTTAACACTTCAATAGACAATGATCCGCTAATGGTAGTTTTGAAACAAGATAGCAACATGAAGATTAATAGGAAATCAATGTGTAAAAACAAGCTAGAATTGAGAGAATAGAAGGCATTCAGAGACTAATTGGAAAGTAAGAAGGCTCCCAGGAGGAGATAAGTAAAAATGAAGGCTTGAATAATGGCCAGGGGGATACAGACAAGAGATTGGAATGACAAGGTAGTGCGGAGGCAAAAGTAACAGACTTTTCCAACCAATGTCATGTCACGAACAGAAGCAGAAACAACCGGAAGAGAAGAAGGACTTGCTTTTGAGGATGAAGGGCCTATCATGTGAACATTTCGTACGTACCAAAGGCAACCCAGCCAGAGACCCAGCACCCTAATGCATCTTTCCTCTCTCAGAATCAAGGGTCCTAGAACTCCCCTAGCCATCGCATGGTCACATCTGAGGCCTCCTACATCATGCTAGAATATGCAAGAACCTCTTGCCGTCTCACTCCATTTCCTATTGTTCATTCACTCAACATAGTAAACACAAGTGCTTACCATCAAGAAGCCCTAGGCTCAACATAATCAAGGAAAAGACTCTATCTTCACCTTCATGGCTCTAAGTCTTCCGATGCAACTGAAGGTGTGTTTTCTTGGTGGTTTTCTTTTCGTTTTGTTTTTCATGGAAATGACTTTACTGTTTTGTGGATGCAAAAATAATACAAAATTTAAAAAAGGAATAACATACACATTGCAATAAAAAAATGTGGAAGACAAAGTTGAGAAAAATCTCAGAAAAGAGAAAAATATAAGAAAGTACAAGCATTAGAGTAGCAATCTAAAAAGTTCAATATCCCAAAAGTGGACATTCTGAAAAGAAAGAAAAGAGAAAATGGACAGAAGAAAGTTATCAAAAAAATAATAATAATTTAGGACAATTTCCTAGAATTGAAGGGCCTAGGTTTCCAAACTAAATGGCTACGAAGTGCTCAGTACCAAGAAAATAGACCCATGCCAACACATTTTCAGAATATTAGGGATAATGAAATCATATAAACTTCCAGAGAGAAAGCAATAAAAAGGCTCTAGGGCCAGCTGAGTGACTCAGTTGGTTAAGAGCTTGTTCAAGAGTGCGAGCTCTGAGCAACTAGCAGTTCGATTCCCGGACCGAGCTGAGCTGCCAACAGGTGGCAGGATGGCTCAGCTAAATAAATAAATAAATAAATAAATAAATAAATAAATAAATAAATAAATAAGTAAAATAATAAAAGGCCCTTCACAACCCAGCCCTGCACACCCCTCCAGGGTCACCTCATCCCAATACAATAGAGCCCAGCCCCCTTTCCACCTATCTCCCTCAAATGTCAGACATATGTCTCTCTCCTCTGTTTAAACTCTCTGGTGGCTAACACTGCTCTCAGAAGAAATAAAAATATAAAGAACACAGGGGAATTAGGCTTTAAGACCACCTCTAAAGTTTGATGACTCTTAAGAGCATTACAATGTTTGAGTAAATGGATATTCTGCTTTACAGAGAGCTACCAAACTGGAATTTTTCTTCTTCCTAACTCATCCTTCAGGTCTTGTTTTCTTTTGCTTTCCAGTTTTCCTTTAGTCATCAGTCCATACTTTTCAATGCAGAGTGTTGGCAATATCGGTATTGTGTCACACAAATTGCTCCTGAATAGGATTTTTAACATGACAAGTCATAGCAAGGTTTCAAAACAACAAATGAAAAACGGGTCAAGTTCCCACGCGAATCGAGATTCTCTCCGTTCTCCATGGGGTCATGATGAGGAAAGGATGGAAAATGTTGAACATGGAACAGTTCTATCCAATCAGGCTAGACTTCCCAAATTTGCATTGGCCATCAGATTATCATGCATCTAGGAAGAAAGAACTTAACTATGCCTTGAATACTATAAAAAGTACACAATATATATCCAACCAAACTGAACTGATGAAATGGACCATCAGGTTCTTCAAACGAATAAGCTTATACTTTTAGATTTAATTCGTTCAGTAAATATTCTATTGAACACCTACTTTATCCCAGGCACTTTATTCAGGTGTTAGAGATGGCTGCAATGAAAAGACAGGCTCGGTGCATGCGCTCTTGCAGCTTACATGCATTCTAATGGGAGAGTCAGATAACAAACAGGATAACGTAGGGTCATGTGCAGTGACTAGGGTGAAATTTTGTGAAAAAGGGATCACTTCAGATAGGTGGTCAGAGAGAGACTCTGAGGAGATATTTTTCACCTGAGGCCTGAATAATGAGAAGGATTTAGGCACATGAAAACCAAGGAAAACTAGGCACAAAGAAGAATGAGAGTAAAGACCCAGAGGTAGAAGCAAGCGGAGAGTTTGAAAAACAAAATGAAGACACACTGGTCAGAACGTAATAAAACATGAGGAAGGTGCAGGATGAAACTGGTGAGGTTACGTAGGAGCCATATTGGTTAGGCCATGATAAGGCATATGGATTTCTCTTCCTCATATGGAGAAATCATTTTCTAGAAAATTCTCAATAAAATTGTCTCTTCCATATCATTTCCCATGCTATTATATTCATTTACCAGCAACTTCCAAGGAACACGCAAATGAAATGTTTTCTTTGTCTTTTTCATATTTTATTTCAACCAACTAGCACATAAGGAAATTTTCTTTTTTTAAATGAGGTTATAGTTCCATCTCATTCGTGAGGAAAGGAAAAAGAATTCTTGACATAGGAATCAAGGAAATTCAATATCAGGTCTGAATGTTTTTTTTTCTCCTCTTGTGCTACACCACATAAGATGGATGTTGAAAGAATAAGATGGCACCACGTGCCACCATGCTGAACAAGCTAGGACTGGTGTGGCAGGCTTGAAATCTCCATTCAAGCTAATTTCTGTTGGAACTGCCACATTATTTCAAGATACTATATTTTTAAAACTTGCATGTTCTTCCCTCCCATTTTGGTGTATACATGCAGATGCTTCTCCTTACCTTTTACTCTTTATTAATCTGATCTCTGCTGGTACCCCCTCATCCGGGTGAGCATTATCCATTCATATAAGCGCAGTCTTCTTCCAAAGTCACTTGGTTAGGGTTTGCCAGCCAACATAAAACACGCCAGCTACATCGATTCAAGGGATCGATAAAGCTGGAAGTCATGGAGGAGTATTTACTAGTTAGGGTAAGAGTAACGGTACAACTGAGACAAAACTATTTCACTCAAAGGCTTTCAGGGACCCATTTTCCAATGACACTTTTGCTGTAATGCACAATTGTCCCCAAATAATGCAGGAATCAAAAACTGCCAAAAGGAATGAAGCCAAAACACAGAGCACTAACTCTACAGACAGAAAGCTCTGCAGTCACATTCATCGGCCATCTATCTACCCTGCCTAGTTAATGAAAGATCCCACTAAAATGTCATTCTGTTTTAACACTCAGATAGATGGTTTTGTTTCTTCTATTAGAAAACTATTTTAGTCCATAAAATTGAGATGTCTTTAAAATGGTGAAGTCTTTCATTTAAAATACCAAAAAGCCGTGCGTGCGTGCGTGCGTGTGTGTGTAGATAGATAGATAGATAGATAGATAGATAGATAGATAGATATAGATATAGATATATAGATATATAGAGAGAGGAGAGAGGAGAGAGAGAGAGAGAAAGAGAGACAGAGAAAAAGAGAGAGGGGAGAGAGAGAGAGAGAGAGAGAGGGAGAGAGAGAGAGAGGAGTCTTATCATCTCCCAAACTATTCTAACAGCCTCGAGTCAAAAACCCCTACTAATTCTTCCTGACGGAGCTCAAACGCTGCCTCCCCTGTGAAGGCTCCCCAGCTCTCCAAGGCATGATTAAATCACTCCAACTTGCTTTGCCCAGTAGCTCTCAGAACACATCACTCTTACAATACAGATTACCCTCTACCGCAGTGCTGCAAGTAAAAATATGCAAGCCACGTGTGTAATTTTAAATGTTCCTGTAGCCTCATTAAAAAGGTAAAAATAAATTGGTGAATTTTAACAATACATTTTATTTAACCAGGTATATCCAAAATATTATCATAGTAACATGTAATCAATACAAAAAATATAATAAGATATTCTACAAATTTTCATATTAGTCCTTTGAAATCCAATGTGTATTTACATTTATAGCATATTTTAAATTTAAACACTAAGCTGTCATCAAAAAATCGATCTGTATTTAGAGGCCATAAAATTTACAGTTGAAAAAGGAGATTCGCATACCCACATTGTTCCAAATGTACTTGAAAGTTTTATAATAACTGCATCAAATATCAACTTTTTATTTGAAAATAAAATTGACATTTAAAAATCAGTTCCTCTGTCACACTAGCTATATTTCAAGTGCTCAATAGCCACATGAGTTGATGGCTATTACACTGAACAGCGTAGCTGCACTACAATTATTTATGTATAAATCTGCCTTCCCCACTCAATCAGACCATGTCAATTCAATTGTATCTTTCCCATTACCTAGCATAGACTTGGCACATAAATGGTGCTTTATGAAAGTTGTTGACTAAATAAAGAAAAATATATGTGGAAATCAATTGACTCTCAACATTAAATCAAGAGCATTCTTTTGTAAGGAATATAAATGGCTATTTTTATGGATACAAACATACACATACATGCACGTACACAAGCACAGGTCTATATAAAAACTAATTAAGACTAAGTACATTTGATTTGTTACCCATTCCTTCAATAACAAAGATTATTTCATACTTACTATTTCCCCTTCTTCTGTGCCTTCATCTCTCTATTCCCCTTCCTTTAATGCATTTATGGGTATTCTACACAATCAGCACTCAATATGTTTTTACATTCTCTACTTGTCTTCTCTATGTCTTACTTTCTCAACTTATATTTTAAGCCTCTGCAGATAGATCCTTATACTTGGTAACTATCAACAGACATGACTTAATGGCAATAACAAACTACAAGAATTTAATATATGACCTATGATCAATTCTCAGGCGCCTTCCTTTTCAGTGAAGCTTTTCCCAATCAATCCCAGGAGCCCAGCCTCTCAGCACTCATATTACTACTACTATGTCTAGATAGCTGGGACCAGTGACCAACCCACTTAATCAATTCTTCTCTATGAGCTACAGTGTGTCTTGCCCGTGCAATTGCCCTCCGCCCCCAAGGAGGTGGGATGTTCCAACATTTGTGATGATACCCCATGTTACCTAGCTGCAGTGCTCTCATCAAAATGAACCCTTCCATAAGTACTGCTTCCTGTCCCCACTTGCAATCTCCATCGCCTGCTACTAGCTACAGGATGTGGCAATAACATGACAGAGGGGAACTCTGTGAGGGTAGAGATCTCTGTGGTCCTATGAGTCGCATCTCCCTACAGAAAAATAACTCTGATAAATCAATGCACACATACATTTCCACAAAGGGGATTGTAGTACGTAGGTTTATCTTTTATTCTAATGCTGCTTGAATAAGAACAGAATAAAAATAAACACAAAGCGTCTTGCTGAATCAGTCATGGTTCTTCCAAGTATCTGTTGGTGTCCCCTCTCTTTTGTTTGCATAGCTCTGTGACGCATCTATCTCTGCAGGAGTGAACTTGGGAGTTAGCATCACGGTGTCATAATCAAATTCTTCATCAAGTGAGAAGGGTTGAACTTCATCTCCCAGTATCTATAAAAGGCAACAAAGGAGGCAAATCATATACAATCATTGTAAATGAAGATGAAGTTGAAAACATAAACTCCCTATTAATATTTAATTAAACTTTTTTTAGACTTCAGCTTTTCAGCTGATTAAGCTGTTTTTAAGTAAGAAATAAATTCAATTACTCAATTTGACCTAATTTAAGCCTTTTAATAAGTCCCATTTCTAGCATCTGCATCGGAACGAATATCATTAACTAATCCGCCCACGGCAAGAATCAGAAACTTTCTTGCACACATTCATTATAATTTTACCATTTCTAGTATTAAGGCTAGAGGTATATGGAAAAAGTAAGAGTTATATTAAAATGTGAGAAAACATACCTTAAGATTTTGATCAACCTTAAATACACTTCACCATTTACTAAAAAAGACATAGCAATAAAACATAATATTCAAAGATAAAAACACTCTACACTTAATAGAGTTACTTCCTCAGGTAACACTTATAATCCCTGGGCCAATAGTAGGAATTAAAACATATCATATCATAGTAAATTAAAAAGTCCAGGGTACCTTTTACCTACCCAGAATTTATAAAATATTACAGAATTGATCTATAAGTCAGAGTAGCTGCAAAGAGATATAATAATTTTGTATCTATTTATTCATAATCTGTGAGTTTTAAAGACTTCTTAAAGGAAGGTAGATGGAAAAGCATATTCTCTAATAAACAAAAGAGGAATGCCATAAATCTCATTGTATCACCATTTCAAAAGGCCCTCCAAAAGCAAATGGTGTGTGATACAATGAAATCATCCAGTATCTTTATAACATGTATGGTGAGGCTGAAATAATTGAAAACTATGGCTCAGGCAAGAATGAAAAAAATGCCCTAAAGCTATAATCAGCTTTAAATATTCTTACATGGAATATGATCTCATTGAGTAACTTTTGCAATGTTCTTAAAAATGGAGCAGAGAGCTCAGACACTACATGCTATTACTAAAGGTGGAAAAAAAAAAAAAGAACCACAACCATGAAAATTAGGTATCTCCTGTCTGTTCAGCAAGTGGCGTCTTCTAGCTAGGTGACAGTGTTAATAGCAAACACCCAACCATCTAGCATCCTTGCTTAGTAAAACTAGCGAGAGAACAAATTTCAGAGACTTGGTTCCTCTTCATTAGAAACTGTCTGTGTGCCTTCCTGACAAAGGTACGGATGGGAGCTGCCACTGAGTGAGTCCCCAGCCTGTGCCAGTCCCAATACTAGGAACTGTGTGGGCATGAGCAGTGATCTTCAAGCCACCCATTTTATGAAGTGCTGAAAGGTGAAGTGACTTGCTCAAGATCACACAAACAGCAAGTGAGAGAAGCAAGGTTTGAATCAAAGAGGACTCTGCTTCAGATAAAGCTTCACCTTCTCAACAAAAACACCAGCAAAAATCAACCTTAAAGTTTTCACTGAAACTTTTCTTTGGGGAAAAAGACCTTTTTTAAAATAAGCTAAACAAATCCCATAGTTTGTTATTTAAAAAAAAAACCACAAACAAAACAACAAGAAAAAAACATACTCAAGGCTCCATAAAAGAGCAGCTGTACATAGGAAGCAAGTCAGTCTGCAGAGTGACTGATCCACTTTGGTCACTTTCTGAGAGTATATGTATCATCGCCACAAAGCGATAGTGGGCTAATATTGCTAAGAGCCGCTCAAATAAAGAACAATGCCATAGCATGTTCACTTCCTGAATATAAACATCCTTGCCACCTCCAATTCGACTCAGCATGAGGCTTGCAGGCCTGGCCCCAATGCCGCCCTGAGCCAATCCTAACGGTTGCTGGCAGAGGATGAGGAGAAGTCCCATCTCTCCAAGGGCATCAGTCTGAGGGGATTCCTGCTGCCCTTTTAGGGCCTGGTTCAAGCCCCGGCGTCCACATGCGTACCAGTGTGGTGGATATGGCTGCCCGTACCCATGTGTGCCGGTGCACGAGGCCTTGGAACCCCACCCTGATGTCCCTAATTCCTCCCTAGACTTCTACTAGCCACTCCCACTAGGTGAAGTCACTTCGCTTTCTGGAAGAGGTGATAGCTAAGCAGAATCTTGAAGAGTAACACTGGTTAACAAGGATGAGGGAATTAGAGCTTGGCAGACAAGGGGCGTTCTCATGAGCAGGCCAAGTTGAAATAAGATGCAGAATTTCACACGTGTGGATCGTCACGTAGCTCAGTGTTGTCAGAGCACCAAGTGTGAGGGAGACGGTGGCCAGAGATGAAAGGGTGCCAGATCATGACAGGTCTTATATGCTGTTTATCTGAGAGATGATGAAAAGCCAGTAAAAGATCTTTTTGAAGGCAGGGTAGCTACTTCGCCACCTATGCATTTCAGGTAACGTCTTTCATTGAAATTTTAACTGAGCACTTACAATAAGACAGGTGCTAGAGACATCAGTGTGTGTACAAAATTGAAAGACGCCCTGTCCTGTACATCTAAAGAGGTCATTTTGAAGATGAAACAGAGGGTGGAATTGGAGTCAGGAGACTAGTAAGGAGCCTGCCGAAACAGTCCAGGCTGGAGATAATGAGAACAGGGCACTGACAGCAGAGATTTGAAAATATTAGAAAGTAAAATTGGTAGCACCGGATGGCTGATTTGGATATGAAACGTGAAGATTTGAAGGTTCCTAATAGAATGCACACAGAGATGTCAACAGGCAACTGAATACACAAACCTGAACCTCTGAAAAAAAAAAAAAGTCAGATGCTAGAGATACAGATTTAGAGACATAAGCATAAAAGGTAGTAACCTATAGATGAAAATGGATCCCAGTATGTAAGCGGGAAGAGCTATAGAGTTAGCGTGGCATTGTGAAGAACACCAACTCATAATGGTTGGCTGGAGGGAAAACCCACAAAGGAGGGACAAGAAGAACAAACAGAGAAATCCACAAAGAAGCTGAGGGGAGAAGTGAAGTAGAGAACCAGTGAACTGCAAGTGTCAGGGAAGATGAACGGTGCAAAACACAGTCGAGGGAGCCATTCACATAAAGACTGAAAAGTGTCCATTAGCAATTATAAAGTAATTGATACCTTTATTCTGAGTATGTCCAGGGAGGTGATTGGAACCAAGTACATTTTGTAGTATATTGAATGAGGAATGAGAGACGGGAGCAGAGTCAACTAGTAGAGCCGAGTCCAATGGTTTATGAAGTCTAGATGGAAAGAGGGGGCGAAAATAGACAGTAGCCAAAGAAGGGTCCACGGTAAAGGGAAGGTTGCGTGGCGTTTGGTTTTGTTTCATTTTGCTAAGGATGGGAGAGATGTGAACACGTTTACGTGTTGAGGGGAATGAAGCAACAGAGAAGAAAAGACAGCATGACTCTAACCACACAGTCATACCAGAAAATCACTCCCCGTGGGTAGTAAGGTTTTCTGGTTGACGAGTATTTATTTGTTCATTCAACATTTATTGCATGTCTACTAGATGCGTAGCACTGAACTTGGCACTAGTTCTGACTTCTTTGCATTTTAATTAAGTAAGCATATAAAGACACACATGAGTGAATTTAGTCTTCCAAGACAAGGGGCACATATGTAATTCAAATGAAACTAGATGCACATTGCAATTTAGAAGACACCGCTGTGGTCTTCAAATGACAGCTTTTAAAATACAGGAAAGTTGCAATTCTATTTATGTACTTCAGCTGTTGGCTACTGTGGCCCACTTTGGGAATTCTCTTCTTTCAAGTCAGGTTCATTTTAGCGTCCTAAGCTAAAAGACTCCAAGGTTTTTAGATTACAAACTCAAATCTGATTTATTTCAAAGAGAAGAATTCTTTCAATGGGAACACCAAATCTCCCGCTATTAAACCGAAAACAAGTGTGAATTAAGTTATTCACTTAATTTTTGCCTAAGGGGTTGAGAGAAATATGTGGATTTCAGGTGTTTAATTTCAAATCTAACTGAAATCTTCTTGTAGCCTCTTGGGGAACAGAATTCGTACACTAGTGGAAAACTGCTGGTTTCCTTGAAATTGCTCATGTGACTTATCCTAAGAGAGACACTGCTACAGGAGGAATCAGTTTTATTCACAGTACCACATAGGCAAATTAAAGAAAACAGGACTAATGCTGAAATCAATAATAGCAGCATTTAGCTATAGGGTATCTTACAAAGTAATATGGTAAATAAACTGTCTTTATAGGTGAAAAATGCTGGAGTCCCATTATGAATGGCAAAAACAGGAGGTCTCCCATTAGAATATCACAAAGGTTTCTTCTATGACCTCTTCTATGGTTTGCCGGAGGAGCTCACAATTTCTCCTCTTCGTAATGTGAATTCATTTTGCTGTATCTAGCTGTGCAAAACTTCCAAAATTCATCAAAATAGATTAACTAATGCAAGAAGTTATTCACAAGTAGAAAGTGGAAGGTTCTTGGAAAACGTTTGACTCTAAGGGAGAAATGCACATGTATAAAACCAGTGATAAAACTACAAAAAAAAAAAAGAATTAAATTGGTCCAACCCATATCAGGAAGTTATGGATACTTATTAGGCAATTAAAGGAAGTCAGTACATGCAAGATCCATTTTCATCTCTTGAGACTGATGTCACAGAAAGCAGCTTCTCCAGACCCAAACAGCCCCTGTAGGCCCTTACAGGACATATTTGCTGGAAATTGATGATTACGTTCTTTTACTGGTATCGGGCACTTTAAAATAAGATTAATACTATTAAACCAAGGCAGAGTTGATGTAGTATTATGATTCTAGACAGTTCTGAAAAGTTTCTCTAACAAATAGTGGTCAGAAATAAAAAATCCCAACAGAGATATTACTCTGTATATTAAAAAAAAACAGCACAAGTTATTCATCTATGTCTCATGAGTTTGCCAACACAAAAATTGTTTGTATCATTTTGATTCCAACATTAAGAAGTGTTCACATTTTCTGGGAAGAAATTTAAATTCCTTTTGAAGATACAATCATATACAGGATTTTAAATTGCATTTTACTGGCTACTTGATAGATTCCAGGAATCACTCAGGCTTTTATTTTAAACCATCCACTAAAACCATTTTATAAAAATTTCTATAATGGCACTAGGTGCCATGATCGCTGGTTGGTCCAGTAATTTGTATAGTCACGACTGAAGTCATGAACATGCACAAGTCTTAAAAAAAAAGAAAAAACTGATTCCTGATAGAAACAACCTTGCGATTTTAGCTTCTTATTACTCAATAAAAGCAATCCATAATTCAAAAAGCACATTGAAAAGTGGCTGTCCCTACAAGTTTATCTGGTAACCAATTTAGGGGCTGAATACAAGCCTGCAAACATCCTAGACATATGTTTGTGTTAACAGTGAATAAAGTTCTATGATAAAGTAGCAACTTAAAATTGAAATGTGTAGATTATTTTTTATTGAAGACTGCTTCCATCATAAAGTATCTTCAAGTGACAAGACTAGTGCCTGAATAATTAAATAACCAAGGAACACCCTAGGGGTTTCACTAGGAAGCAATCATAAAGAGCCCTTAACAACCTCTTGTACCTGATCCCCTTCTAGGTTAGAGGGAAAAGAGTGAGAAAGGTCACACCCAGCCCCACCAGCAGCCTCCCTTGGTGCACGTTTGTTAAGTTTATGTAGAAGAGTTGCAAATGATGGCAAAAGGTGACTTTCAAGCTGTGCATCTGGGAGAGTAAACGTGTGGCAGAGATTCCATTCTACCCTGCTGGCGAAGCAAATGGCTAGATGGCATTTCCCAGGCTCCCTGGTGGCTAGATAGGAACATGTGACTATGTGGGTGCCAATGGAATGTGAGTGGAAATAAACAGCCCTGAGTCCTAAGCCTTAGGAAAACATGCCACCCCATGCTCTCATCCCCTGCCCTCCAGGTAGGATGGTGACCTGACTTGAAACACGCACTTGAGGGCAGCGTCCTAAGGCATAGGGAAGTTCCCCCAAGAAGGACTCAAGGCCCCTAACAACCCCAGGGAACAGAGCCCCCTGCCCACTTAAAGACCCTCCAAGAATGTTACATGATAGAAATTAACTTCTCTCTCCTCCAGCCACTGAATCACTGCTCAGATTCTCTACTGTAGCAGCCTGGCCTTACCTTAATGAACACAAGATGTTTATAGGGCCTTGGAAACAATAATAAAAAGAAAAAAGGTCAGTTCAGACTAAAAGAGAAAAGAAAACCGCCTGTCCTTTCTATCACGTGGTCTCCAGGTAGCACTGTCCCGTAGCATGGTGTACATCATGAAACAAAAATAATTTCCACAAAAAAACACAATCGCTGTCTGTATTTAAAAAGAAATACACACATTATAGATAGGTGGCCAGTTGAGCAACTTGACTTCTCCATTTTCCCAAATCTGAGAAAACTACAAAAGCACACAGGTAGAGTAGCATTTCCGGGGAAGGACTCGTTACAAAATCAAGGCAATTTCGCGACTGAATTCTCCGTGGAGTACCTCTTCCCTTTCTTTGTCTGTTCCTTTCCCCGCGGATCTCGGCTTCACTCCAGAGGTAAGAGGCTGGACCATGGAAGGAATGTAAGAAGAAGCACTGGTGCTGACATCCTGCTCCACTTCTCCTGGCAGCAGCGGCAAATCTGTTGGACACAAAATGTTTCACTGATCCTTTCACCAAGTTCACAATTGACCTATATCATCTAAAATCCTATCATAGTCAAAAGAATACGGCTCATATGCTCAAATAAAGTAGGTCCATTTCACAATGCCTGCTCTCATTTGGGCACTTGACTCAAGAGAGTCCTCTTTCTATAAAGTAGAAGTCCTTGGTGCATTTATTTTTATCTTACTGTTGCGAAATTACATTCCATCCAAAAGGTCTGACAGAAATATTGTTTGGGGATAATGATCATGCCTCTCACCTCCCAACCCAATTTCTATTTCTACAGGAAAATAAGGCAAGAAGATGCTACTTTTGCATCATTTTCCCATATTTTCCTGAGGGGGAAGAGAACTTTCATTCCCTAATGATATGGCAATATTTCAGAAAAAAAAGTATTAAAAAAACAATGATGCCAGAGGAAAGAACTTTAACTTTCAGGAGAAAAATGAGCTACTCTGTCATATTTAGAATGCATGGTCTAATTTTCAACATTTGCAAACAGCAACAGTGTGTTTCTGGCTTGTTTAGCACGATTACAAGAATTCAATAACTACTTTTGATTTTTGGATCAATCCTTTCTAAGGGGATGTGTTCCCTTATTTCTGCATGTGTGACAGAACATGGAAGCATCACAGGCAACTGGTGATCTGCCACCGTTTTCTTAAAGGAGGACAAAAACCAAAGAGAAGTACAACAGGTTTCTGCCTCATTCAAAATTTTCATAGGACCAGAAGGGCCGCTGGCGCTCGCCAATAGCTTGCAGCTGGCTCAGGGTGCTGCTGCCTGCTACTCAATGAGGATCCTAATGAAGACACTACTTCTCAGTGGAAGTGATTAATTAACAACAGACATGCCTCAGCTGTTGCCAGTGGCAGCATAAGCAGGGAGATAATGAAGCAGGTATGAATATTCAAAAACTGAAACTTATCTGAAACACATCTCTCATCACTGTATATATCACCTTCACACAAAAAAACATAATTACAAAATTCTTAAGACTCCAGCAACAGAGAACATAGCCTAGAAACTCAGCATGTGGGTGGGGGATGGTGAAGAAGGTAGTTCTACTATGATTCAGTATTGAAACCTTAAAATATGACCTAATTAACTAGCAGAAGTAAAAACGATAATAGTCAACTCTTGTGAGCTGACATTCTATAGGCATTAACTCAGCTGAACCTCCCAACAGCTCTATTATTGTCCGTTTTACAGGCAATGAGCTCTAAGCGCCGAGAGGAACCAAGGTGCCACAGCTAGAAAGTGGCAGAGCTGGGTAGTCTGTCTGCAGAGCCCATACTCTTAAGCCCACAATATGACAATATGCACTTCTTTTAAATAAACATTTTTATTACATATATTTTTTAAATCTATCAGAGTATAAATCCAAACTCAGAGTCAAGAAATGTCACTAAAATATCACATTAGCATAGTTACTCAGTGTCAAGTGCACTTAAACATTTTATCTGACATAAGTAACATTTTTAAACTCAATCAAGTTGGTGGAAAGATTGGCTTTCTAATATATCTATTTATTAGTTCAAAGCCAAATTCCCTCATTGAGCTCCTTGACATACCTGCCTAGGACGGGTTCAAGCCTCTTAATGTATAAACCAATATCTACCAGACCCATTTGCTGCCAGTACAAACATCAGTTCAAGTATGAGATCAAACTCAATTCTACTTTGAGAAATAATCCATCAACAACCAAGGCAAAAAGGCAGCTCAGAACGAAAATGAATAATCTCCAGACAATAAACTTAAAGACATGGAAATATGTGACTTAAATGACAGACAATTCAAGATTGCAGTTCTAAAAAACCCAAGGAGATGGAAGTAAAGTCAGATAGGCAATTTAATGAACTCAGAAATAAAATCAATGAACAAAGTAAATACTTTACCGAAGAGATTCAAACTTAAAGAAGTATATAGAAATTCTGGAGCTGAATAACGCAATAAAAGAGATGAAAAATGAAATAGCATGCTTAGGCAATAAAGCTGACCCGATGGAACAAAGAGTTAGTGATACTGAAGATAGAAATCTGGAAATGATGCAAATGGAAGAAGAGAGAAGCTTGAGAGTTAAAATAAATCAAAGAACTCTACAAGAACTATGACTCCATCAGAAAGAGCAACATAAGAATAATGGGTATACCAGAAGGAGAAGAGAGGGAGAAGGGCACAGAGAAAATATTCAAACAAAGAGTTGACCAGAACTTCCCAAACCTTGGAAAGAACTGGATCCTCATCCAAGAAGCAAACAGGCCCCTAATTATCTCCATCAAAAAAAGTACACCATATTAAAACTGTAAAAAATTATTGACAATGAAAGAATTTTCAAGGCAGCCAGGGAAAAAAAAGATGGTAAACTATGAAGGAAACTCCATTAGATTATTATCAGATGTTTCAGCAGAAACTCTACAAGCTAGGAGGGAGTGGAATCAAATATCCAAACTATTGAAAGAGAGAAATTACCAACCAAGAATAATGTATCCCAGCAAAGTAATCCTTTAAATGTGGAGGAATAATAAAGACCTTTCCAGACATACAGAAGCTGAAGGAATTTCCCACAACATCCCTGCTTTACAAGAAATACTAAAGGGGGTTATTCTACCTGAAACAAAAGACAAAAGGATACAAAGCAATGAGTAAGATGACTAACAGACAGAAGCAGGAAATTGCAACTCCTACTCAGATTAGGGCACTATACACTTAAATATAACATAAAAGTTAAAGGAGGTAAAAACATAAAAATTAAAAAAAGAAAGAATATGAAGACAATTGCTACTGCAACTCAAAAATGAAATCACAGCATAAATAGGGATAATTTGTGGCAACAAAAACATAAAAGGGGAGGGGGCAAAGGTCTGGATTTGCAAAGGGGAATGAAAATATGAAACTTTTGTACATATGAAACTTTTTGTACATAAACTTAATAGTAATCACACACATACAAAAACAAAAATAAAAAACTCAGAACTGAGACACATAAATAACATAAAAAAAGAGGAAACAGAGGGAAAAATCATAGACTATCATCAAACTAAAATAATAGACAGAAACACAAGGGCAAAGAAACAATGGAGACACTGAGCTACCAGAAAACAAAAGATAAAATGGGTATAGGAAATCCTCATATATCAATATTCACCCTACATATAAATGATCTGAACTCACCAATAAAAAGGTCCAGAGCAGTAGACTGGATAAAAAAATAAAACCCAATCATATTCAAGAGACACATCTCAGTTACAAGGACAAATATAGACTCAAAGTGAAAGAGTGGAAAACAATATTCCAAGCAAATGGCATCCAGAGAAAAGCAGGTATATCCATACTTATATCTGACAAAATAAACATCAAGATAAAAAATGTAATAAGAAACAAAGATGGACATTTCATAATGATAAAGGGACAATACATCAAGAAGACATAACACTTATCAATATATATGCTCCCAATCAGAGAGCACCAAAATATGTAAAGCAACTACAAAGAGAACTAAAGGGAGAAATCGACAGAAACACAGTTATAGTAGGGGACCTAAATGCATCATTGACAGGTATGGATAGATCATCCAAACAAAAAATCAATAAGGAAATATAAGCCTTAAATGACACATTAGACCAAATGGACATGATAGGCATTTACAGAGCCTTTCACCCCAGAATACCAGATTACACATTCTTTTCTAGTTCACATGAAATATTCTCAAGGATAAAACAAAGCTAGCCTCAACAAATTTAAGATTAAAATCATACCAAGCATATTCTCTGACCAAAATGCTTTGGAATTAAGAGATTAACTACAGAAACAAAGAGAGGAAAACCACAAATATGTGGACATTAGACAACACGCTACTAAGAAGACTGGGTCAAAGAAGAAATAAGAGGAGAGATCAAAAGAAACATAAAAGCAAATGAGAATGAAAACACATCATATCAAAACTTTTGGAATGCTGCAAAAGAGGTAATTAGAGGGAATTTATACCATTACAGGCCTACCTTAAGAAACAAGAAAAATCCCAAATAAACAACATAATATTACATCTTAAAGAACTACAAAAAGAATAACAAATGAAGCCCAAAGTCAGCAGAAGGAAGGAAATAATAAAAATTGGAGCAGAATTCAATGAAATAGAGAACAAAAAGACAATAGAAAAAAATCAATGCAACAAGGAGCTGCTTCTTTTGAAAGACTGATAAAATTGACAACCCCCTGCCTAAACTCACTAAGGAAAAAATAAAAAAGACACAAATAAACAAAATTAGAAATGAAAGAGAAGTTACAACAGCACAGAAATACAAAGAACCATACAAGAATACTGTGAAATACTATATGCCACCAAATTCAATAACCTAGAGGACATGGACAAGTTCTTAGAAATATTTAACCTCCCTAGACTGAATCTAAAAGAACTGGAAAATCTGAACAGACTGATCAACACAAAGGATATTGAAACAGTCATCCAAAACCTCCCAAAAAACAAAAGTCCAGGACCAAATGGCTTCACTAGTGAATTCTAGCAAATATGCAAAGATTATTTAATACCTGTCCTTCTCAAACTCTTCCAAAAAAATTTAAGGGGGGGCAATACATCCTATCTCATTTTATGAGGTCAAGATTATCACCCTGATACCAAAACCTAAAACTGGTAAAGATAACACAAAAAAATAAAATTACACACCAATATCTCTGATGAATACAGATGTAAAAATCCTAAACAAAATACTAGCAAATCGAATACAACAATACATTAAAAAGATTATACATCACAATTAAATGAGGTTCACTCCAGGGGCACAAGGATGGTTCAATATATACACAAGTTGATCAATGTGATACATCACATAAACAAAATAAAGGATAAAAGTTATATGATCTTATCAATAGATGCATTTGACAAGATATAACTCCCATTTATGATTAAAACACTTATTGAAATGTGTATAGAAGTACTTCAACATAATAAAGCCCATA